TAACACTGGATCAATAACAGATGATCCTTACTGGACCTTTAGGAAGAACAGTTTAGAACTGATAGCGCTATCCAGTGTAAATAAAGTTAGTTTAGTTTTAAGTTTCCTCCTGTAGTAACACTGGATCAATAAGAGATGATCCTTACTGGACCTTTAGGAAGAACAGTTTAGAACTGATAGCGCTATCCAGTATAAATAAAGTTAGTTTAGTTTAAGTTTCCTCCTGTAGTAACACTGGATCAATAACAGATGATCCTTACTGGACCTTTAGGAAGAACAGTTTAGAACTGATAGCGCTATCCAGTGTAAATAAAGTTAGTTTAGTTTTAAGTTTCCTCCTGTAGTAACACTGGATCAATAAGAGATGATCCTTACTGGACCTTTAGGAAGAACAGTTTAGAACTGATAGCGCTATCCAGTATAAATAAAGTTAGTTTAGTTTAAGTTTCCTCCTGTAGTAACACTGGATCAATAACAGATGATCCTTACTGGACCTTTAGGAAGAACAGTTTAGAACTGATAGCGCTATCCAGTGTAAATAAAGTTAGTTTAGTTTTAAGTTTCCTCCTGTAGTAACACTGGATCAATAAGAGATGATCCTTACTGGACCTTTAGGAAGAACAGTTTAGAACTGATAGCGCTATCCAGTATAAATAAAGTTAGTTTAGTTTAAGTTTCCTCCTGTAGTAACACTGGATCAATAACAGATGATCCTTACTGGACCTTTAGGAAGAACAGTTTAAAACTGATAGAGCTATCCAGTATAAATAAAGTTAGTTTAGTTTAGGTTTCCTCCTGTAGTAACACTGAATCAATATGAGATGACACTTACTGGACCTCTAGGGAGAACAGTTTAGAACTGATAGATTAGTTTAGTTTATGTTTCCTTCTGTAGTAACACTGGATCAATAAGAGATGATCCTTACTGGACCTTTAGGGAGGACAGTTTAACTTTATAAATGTAAAGATGTAATGAAAAAATTAAAGTTAACTTTATTTTGCCAATCTCGCTTCTTTAGCTGTCTTTATGCGAAGATGAATTAAACACATGCAAAAAAGGGAATATAAAACTTCATGAACAGCTCGAGGAGGTGAAATTACAAGTATGTATCAATTATAACATTTATTGCAGGTTGACCAGAGCGAAGGAATATTTTAAGGAAATCATTTGTGGAAATCGATTGTTTATAATGATTAATTGTTTTTCAATTTTAGACCTCTCAACACGTGGCCTTGAATGGATCAATTTTCTCTGAAATATCAGTGTTGGAAAGTGAGTCTGATTTTAGTCTCAAGTTAGCTGCTTCTCCCAGCTGTAAGGTGAGAAATTGACCGTCCATTTATTAAAATAAGGTGTTGTGGTACGGTGATTTAGTACATGTGTCTTTACGCAGTTGTCTGAATATAATTTCACCTCAGTCACATGTGAGAAGAATGCATCCAGTTTGACTCTACCAAACATCACAGATTTTCTCCAAGTGTCCCAGTTTCCTCCTGTGGTAACACTGGACCTCTAGGAAGAACAATTCAGTAGAGGTATCTAGTATGAATAAAGTTAGTTTAGTTTAGGTTTCCTCCTGTAGTAACAATGGATCAATAAGAGATGACCCTTACTGGACCTCTAGGAAGAACAGTTTAGAAATGATAGAGCTATCCAGTATAAATAAAATTAGTCTAGTCTAC